ACTAGTACAAGCAAATACAACCTTTTTCATGTTTCTACATAAAGTATTGGAAAGAAAAGGAGCCAATTGTCTACCGCTCGTGTAGGTATATGTAGGGATGCAGTTTTGGAGCTCGCTTTCTTTCTTCATTTATCTTCTTTCTTCACTGAAAACCATTTCCATATCAACGGTTTGGTATCAAGGCTCTTATTTGAACGTAAGTGAGCAAAACACTCAGTAACGTGTAAGTTGATACAGTTAATCTAGTTGTTGCTGTTTTTTTTTTCTTAAAATTTACTGCTTTTCTAAGCCTGCCACGTAACTAATCACTGCAGAGGGTGTTGAAAATAGATTTCGTTACTCAGTCACGAGGTTTGTACTGTTGTCCAATCGGAACACGAGACTTGATTGACATAGGAATTTTACCTCGCGCGTGTTGTGTTAGACTAAAATTTATCTCCGAAAATAACTAAGTGAACCAGGGATCATTTATGGAAATCTGTTGGAAGTCTAGAGGAGTTTTTCTCTCAATGAACTAAGGAACATTCATTAAAAATCTGTTGGAAATCTACAGAGGGGAATTCCTTCTTCTAGGACATCAATTACTTTTAATGTATAAAAAGCTCCTTTTTAACTGCTATCAGTCAAAAAAAGGAATGGAACAAGCGCCATAATTAAATAAAATACTACTTGTTATGTTACTAAACATTCGCTCCAAAAATAAAAGGTCTCAAGGTTCGATCTGCTTAATTAGCGAAAAAACAAAGCTATCATATCTAATCTGACTGATGTTTCTCGGAATCACAAACAATACACGGGTGTGTTTCATTTCGCCCCGATTTCATAATCTGCCTACGCAATGGAGTCTCTCTTTAAGAATCTCGAGAAACATGTTGGTCTATCCTGGTAGACCTGTTTATTTGGTTGTAAATTTTCCAAATATCTCTGATGATAACTGTATTAACATAAATCATTATAACATAACCAAAGTAAAGCGCGCGCTCTGATTGGTCAATTTAGCGTCCCCCATTTGTCCATAGGTGTTCGCGGCTGACGTGAGCAAATGCAAAGACTATTTTTCCGCGCACGCTTGTTTTTGCTGGTCACGTAAGATTTGTTAAATAAAAGGGAACTCTTTAGCTACAATGTATCAATGTTATGTTATAAAACAAATGGTAAACACCACAGCGTACACTATTGAGTTATGGGTGCACTTGGGAGGTTTGCTAAGCACTCAAGAAGCTAGAGTCGCTCTCGGCTATCGCCTCGAGCGACTCTTACGCTTCTTTCCTCCTTAGGAACCTCCCGCGTGCATCCATAACTCAATAGTGTACGCTGTGGTGTTTACCATTTGTTAACTAGTGATTGATGTTTTGACTCAACAAAACTTCTTATGTGAGGAAAAAAGACATTGCAACAGTCATAACTGATATAATTTATCGGCATGTCATTACTTGTAATCGAAATGGACTGTAAATTTATCATTAGTTGTGAATGTTTTATTCGATCTCGGGGGAGTTTGCATTGATGAATAATGCTGTGACAAAAAAAAGTATAACTGTGCAATTGATTTAATAAAGAAGAGATGAAGATATTATTTCGGGATTTTGTTAGCAGTCTTTGCCTTCAGCAACTATATTACATTTGAATCAGTTAAACACAAAACTTAATTGAAAAAAAATCACGAGAAATCGAAGAATCTAATGACCACCAAAATAGTCCTAGATAAGTACATTGCGCCCAGACCCCATAAACAAAGGATATCTTTCTCATCAGTGCTCAAGGTCCTGGAAAATTAAAGGTAATTTTTTGTTTTTTTTCCATTTTCTGACCAAGAATAGTTGCAACAACTAATTTATTTATCAACAGACGTTCTTTGTGAGCAAGGCATCAGGTCATATTTTTGGCGGTTAGCGCCGGATTCCGATAGATATCGTGATAAGTCCGTGACACCTGAGTTACTTTGAATGGAAAAATTGCATGACGATAATCAAGACCAGCTGGGTCCTATCTATTCGTGATGAGGGGGACCCTCGAGACTATTGAAGGCTGAAAAATTAATTAACCTTTGTTAAAATCAAGGTTTTATGACTAGCTCGAGTACTTTCAGGATTGCGCGTCCGGCTCAATGAAAATAGATTGGATACCTTCCATTCGTTTGCGGACAGAGTTTTAGAGCTCGCATTCTTTCACATGAAACTCAGGCATTTTGCATATAATCCGTTTTTCATCAGGGCTCTAACATGTCTATCATTTAAAATGAAATAAGTAACTTATGCTGCGTAACGTGTGAATTAATTAAGTTTATCAATTGATTTTTATTTCTAATCTTACAAATTCTTTAACTGAACTTTCTTTGAAGCCCACGTATCTAATCACTGCTGAGCAATAACTCTCAGATGGAATATTCACTGCAAAAAGAAAGTTCATTCACCGAATCAAAATATGGAGTCAATTTGAATTACCATTGTTTTTGACTTACTAGCCTCGTCTTCATGTGCAAAACATGTCTGCTATGAGTCACAGTAAGGAATGGAACAGGAGCTTTTGTTGAAGGGCACTGATACAACTTGTTTTGCAACTAAATATCTGCTCCAAAAATAAAAGGTCACAATTTTCGGTCTGCTTGGTCGGCCAAAATACAAAGCTATCATATTTCATCTGACTGATGTTTCTCGGATTCACAATCAATACACGGGTGTGTTTCATTCACAGGCAGCCCAAGCTCACTACAAGAAAAGCGGACGTGACTCTTACCGTGTTTGCGCAACGTTTTATATTTATAAAGGTTTGTATGGGATGTTATCGAGAAAAACATGTCTTGTTTTGAAATAAAATGGGCTTACCTTATTGCCTTGATGTTTTCTTTGTTGATTCCATAGTGTCTCAGGCCATTCTGAAGCGTTTTCGGCGAGTTAGCGCTATGTTGGTGTTCAACTGTTAAAAGAAAGACTTTTAAAGACTTCTTAAAAGAAAGACTTTTAAAGAACGACTGTTAAAAGAAAGAATTTTAAAGACGTATGGTAACAGTCGACGCAAAACCCACCAAATCGCTCAAATTCGCCATTTAGAGTCACAGACTGACGACAATACACAGCAAGTGAGAGAGGTTTACATTTATTTTGAGCTTTAACTCAAGACATTTCCTGATATAAGTTTACGATACTAAGCACAGGCAGCCCAAGCTCACTTCTAGAAAAGCGGGCGTGACTCTTAACGTGTTGCGCAACGTTTTATATTTATAAAGGTTTGTATGGGATGTTATCGGTTTGCCTTAAAAGAGAGAAAAAAATGTCTTGTTTTGAAATAAAATGGGCTTACCTTATTGCTTTGTAGTTTTCTTTGTTGATTCCGAGCGTCTCAGGCCATTTTGAAGCGTTTTCGGCGAGTTAGCGCTATGTTGGTGTTCAACTGCTAAAAGAAAGACAAGGCCGGAAACCTATTTTAGAAGCGTCCGTCGCCCGAAGCGAATAATTCCGCCAAAAAATT